ATAGGTCAATTTACTTAGTAAAATTTTGACTTTACTATATAGCAACACTTATCATTTATGGAGTAGCTTCTTTTGGGTAAAAGACTTTTTTTACTTTTCTTGTCTAAAAAAAAAGTAGCTTATTTTCGGCGTAGCTTATTTTCAGAAATATACAGTATTGAAAACTTGCTTGTTCTCCTTAGACCAACTATTTTTAATTTAGTCAGCAGAAGCAGAGCTTCTATTAAAATTTTTTGCACAAGAGCACCACCTTCTTGCCAATTATCTTGTACAAGAATGTTTTTAACTTGTATACTGAATATTCTGAGAAGTCTAGAAAAAGACAAGACAAGCTTTAATCGCTATAAAAACTGTTATTTGTAGTTGTTTTTCTGCTTTTCTTCAACAAGTTTCTGTTTTTGTTAGCTATAAATTTAGTACAAGTAATCATCAGAGAGAGTTGATCTGTAGATTGAAATATATAAATTTTAAAAATTTTGAAAAAATTTTAATAATAAAATTTTTAAACAAAAACTTTAAAATTTTATTACTCAAAAATTTATTAATAATTTTAAAAAATTTTTATATTAAAGTTTATAAAATATTTTTTCAAAATATATTCTTTTTTTTTTATAATTCAGCAATTCTGCCTCTGCTTATTTGAGATTAAGCCATTCAAGAATTATACATTTCTATCTATAGCTATCGCTAATCTAATCAAACTAAAAACTTACTTCCAGCTTTCACTTAGATGCGACCTGCTTTAATAGTCCTTAACCTCCTTCTGGATCTTTAAGATCTTTAACTTACTAAGAATTTATTTCCTTTTGGTCATCAGCTAGTGACTACTTGCCTTGTCAGTACTACCTAATTATATTTATATTTTAAAACATAATTGCGCTTTGGTCATGACCAGTATCTGTGAACAATGCAAAGCATCAAATCAATAATTTTAAAGTAAGAATATTACGTTATATATTCTCTATATTATAAATACTAAAAATTTTGCTACTACTTAATTTCTTCTGTGATCTTCTATAGTTATCCCAATTCATCTTTTCATATTTCATTTCTTTTCTTTCTATTAGTAGTCTGCTATAGCACTTCAATCTTCTACTTTCTTCCTTCTTTTTGTATTTCTTCCAGTTCTTAAGCTTTATCTTATTCTTCTTGCTCTTGATTATATTCTTTATACAGATTTTTTTAGAAGTATTTATCTGTAGCTTTTTTCTTTTTCTAGTTTCTTCAATATTACTTTTGATTCTTCTGCTTCTAGGTCTTGGTTAATTTGTCTAGATCTTTATTTTTCTTATGTTGGAACTTTGTACTTTCTTTTTTTCTTCTACTCTATAGTCTTACATTTCTTCTAATAAGTGTCTTTTGAGATCTTGTATACTTCTTTTTACTTTTTGGTCTTTCAAAAACCTTTCTACTGTTTCAAATGTGAAGTTTTTCTTTTTTCTCATCCATTTCTTGACTGTTTAGAACTGCATATTATCTTCATTTGTACTAGTATTTATTAGTAATCTAATTTGTCTACTCCATTTGTCAAGATTTTTTTTTTCTTCTTTTTCTAATCTTTAATATTATCTTGTCTACTTTCTAAATTTATTATATAAACTTTACTATTTACTTTAGTATTTTTCTTCATGGATTTTTGATTTGTATATAGATAAAGTTTTTCTTTTCTATTAAAGTTATTGCCAGAATTCTTGGTCTTGATTCTTTGATTAGTTTGTCTAAAGTTTCTTTTTTTATAAGGCCTTCAATATCTCTTCCTATATTTCTTTTCTTCAATATTTTTTCTTTTTCTTTAGCTTCTTTATATTTTTATTCTAACAGCTTTGCTTTCTGTTGAACTTGCATCTTCTTTATTTCTTTTCTAATTTTCTTTTTTTCTTTTTCTTTTTTTCTTTATATTGTTTTATTTTCATTAATTCTACTGATTCTCTAAAGTGCTATAATAATAGTTCTGTTATTTTATTATGTTGTCTTTGTCAGCACTTTCTCTGCTTATCTAGTCTTTTCATCCATTCTGTTTCTATTCTAGCCTTTGTATACTCAGTAGCTATTTTTTCTTTATTACATAAAACAGTCTTTCTCTTTCTGTTGCACATAGATTTCTTATAGTACTGATTACTTTGTTTAGTAGGATATGTTTTATTAGATCGATATCTAACTATACTGTCTCTTAATATAATATATTATTTCTTTTTCTAAATGCAAGTTCTGTATATTTTAATTCTTTCTGTTCTATATTGTCTTAATTCTATATGTATTGCTTCTATTTATTTCTCTGCTTGTTTTGCTGTTGTAGGTTTTGTTCTAGCATTTTCTATTATTTTTTGCTTTATGTGACTATTTTGTTATTGTATTTGTATATCTCTTTTGTTTTTGTCTGCCACATGTTTTTTAACATGTTTTCTTTGTTTATTCTTCATTATGTATTGTATATCTTATGTGATAGCAACTGATCTGCATTATAGGGTCAAGGCCAATCTCCAAATGACTTGCAAAGAGCAAAATTTTTAATGATTTTTTGAGATTTTTTACTATATTTTTGCTACTTCTGCTCTATTTACTCAAGTTTCTTAAGAAACTAAGTATTATTTCTAGTCTTCTTGCCTTTTTCTTAGAGCTGCAAGTCTTGTTTTCTATAGCTAGTTGTGTATTTCTGTCATTTCTTGTCATTGTTTTGTTTTTGTATTTTTGTATACAGAGAATCAGTAAGAAGAGTTGCCTATATTGATATTTTTAAAATATATTCTATCCCTTAAACTGTAGGCTCTTCCAGGCAAATTTGTTTAAAAAATTATCATAAATATTGTTATGATCTACTTTTTTTAAATTTTAATATATTTAAATAAAATTTTTTTTGATAATATTTGAAAATAAGAATTATATTATAGTAATATATAATTTTATATTATAAGAAAAAGTCTTAGTTACTTATAAGATAAAAATAGACCAATTTAGAAAAATTTTTTAATAAAAATTTAAATATTAATTTTAAAAATATATTTCTTAATACAATATTTTAGTTTATATAAAGAATGATATTTTTTTTGTAGTCAAGATTAGCCTCTTTGACTTTTCACTTTTATTAGACTTTATAGAATCATGTGATGTCCTTTTTAAGAGAACCCCAGACAAGTACATTCTGACGAGAATACATTCTAGCCATACTTGCGCCTTTTGAGCGCCTAATTAAGTATCTACCTATTACTAGGTTCTACACTAGATACCGTACCTATAACCTACTATTAGTTGAGTTACTCAATTAAACTCTTTGATTTGAGTTTCCCTGCTAATCTATTTAATCTCATCCGGAACATGCGAAACATAAGTCAGTCCAAGTTCCAAGATCATTGCGTGCCACCTATAGGACTACCAGCATGGTTAACTGATTCATCCTCGAGTGCATCACCTGCTAGAGCAGTCCGGTCCCACTATACCATATTATCTAGTTTACTTCAGTAACTTACGCCTAGGCTGAGACCAAGTACTTGCGAGCTAAAGCCACTATCATTATCTACTATGCCCTTATAGAGTTCATCTAGACCCCAGCACCCACTATACAGACTATCACTATACATCCATTGCCTCAAACTTCCAATTCAGATGGCCTGGAAGGGCTGTGACCTGCTCCTGGTCCCCATGGTTGGGTCCTTTTCTTCTAGTTACTCTTCAGCAGCCTGGTTGGTAGAGTGCCTTGCCAAACACTTCGGTTCCATTCGGTTCTCTGATTTTCAGTTGATAATCCTTTATATAGTACCATCAAAGATCTGTGCTACCTCTCTACTCGGGTCTTGCCAAGCGGGCTCCTATGTGTGCCAACTCTGGATTTACGCAGCCGCTTTACTCAGGTTTTATATAACTCGTACATTATACTATTATTCTACGGCCTTCTAGTACGAGCTGGTATGACCAGATTACAGATATCGATCTGTCTGTTTACACACAGTCTGCTATAATACCTAGGGGTTAGTAAAATTACGGGGGGACAACTTTGGGTTACACATGCTTGATAATAGTATAAAGATCGATATTTTATATATAAATCATATTAATTCATATATCTCATATTCAATCGTTCAAAGTTTTAATTACAAGTTGTTTTGAAATCATAACTCTGCCGGGATATTGTTTTTTTTTCGAAACTTTAAACATATAAAGGCAAGTAACTAATCATATAAAAATTTTGTAAATGCTATTTTGAAGACTAGAAACTGAATCATATTCTCACGTTCAATTATTATAAAGAAGATGAGTGGAGTAAAGGTAAGATATTAGTATATATGACTCTAATTTAAGCCTATAAGTACCTTAAATAGCACGTACCTGGTATAAACTGGTTCTAATCGAAGTTATAAAACTTATATCAGTGTTGAAAAATCAATATCTTGGCAGCTACTTTGATAATAGAATAAGGAATGCCTAAAAATGTATATAGCATTCTTAGAAATCGTTATCAGGAATTAAAACAGACAATCATAAGAGGTTTATTTATTACTAGGAATCTGCTAAGATGGCACGTTTTAGAAATAAATAATTAGGAAAATTTTGTCAATATGAAATTAGAATCGAAACAAATAAATAATAAGCGCTTATTTATTATCAAAGACCTGCAAAAATGAAGCAAAAATAGTCTTTGAATTGTTAACATTGAATTAGAATTGAAATAGATACATACAAGGCATTTACTTATTACAATAAATAACCTTAGAAATAGTTATCAGCGTGGAATTGGAATTCAAATAGATATATATAAAGCATCTATTTATTACAAAATCTGTGTATTCTAAAATCAAATAATGTTAGTTATTGTTATCGATTTCAGGATTTGATAAGATCCATTTATATTAGGTACGCATTATTTGAGGAGCTCATAGGAATTATTAAATATTATAGTTAGAAAATCGGTCTTTAACTCAGCATATTATTATATACAGACATGGCATATGCGATTAACTAATTTTAAATTACCATTTTAGAGAAATAGGATTTTATCTGAAAAGATAATGAACAAGCCAGCAAAAAAACAGACAAAGTATCAGGAAGATGCTGAAGACGAAGCCTTACAACAACTATATCAGCTCTGTCCAGACCTTAATGATCAAAGTGTATGGTTTTTTTCTACGCTCAAAAAGTCTGCCAAAGGCTGTATTTTATATGAAAAATCTGAAAAGCGTGCATATGTATATGATATGATTACACAAAAATGATTTTCTTCTTTTTCAGCATGGATAAAAGCACTCAACGGCAAACGATTTTTTAAAGGCAAAAAATCAACGTTAGCAACAATATTTCTGAAGCCCAATTGCAACAAACAAGTATTGGGCAAATAATTAAAGGAAAAGATTATACGCCTTATTTCAAAAATAATGAAATCGTTACATTACTTTCTATTAAAAGTATTTTAATGAAAATATTAAATGATGATTTAGAATTGGTAGGCACAAATTTAATGGAGGGTGAAAAGTTTTTGTGTCTTGTATCTTTTGATACAAATATGAAAAAGGAACTTAATATCAAGGAGGCATCTCGTGGATGTTGGAAACCTATTAATTGACGATTCTCCAGTCAACTGAAGAATGATCATAGTGAAACGTGACGCGGTTCTATATATAAATTACTATAG